TTAAATACAACATTGTCTCACAGTGTTTATCACAAGAGCGAGTGGATGAAGATGTAATCACTGATAATGAAGAGGTGTATAACAAAATCACTACAACTATGTTTAACTTACAAAAAGAGTTGTTTAAAGAAAACCATTTATCCTATTATAACGAGGTAGATATACAAATCCTTAAAGAGTGTAAAACCATAGTTCCGGTTGGCAAGTTTTGTAAAGATGTGGCGGTCAAGAAAATAAAAGAAATAGATATTAACAAGGCATTTACACACGCGGGAGGGAGTATAAAATACATCCCGAAATTTACACAATTTGACATATTCAGACCTTTTGGCGAGGATTGTAGCACAGACCAGTTTAACAACCTGACATTATACATTGTAGAGGTGTATGAAGGGAACGTCTTTTTCAACAAGAAGTATTGTTTAGTTTATGGCAAGTTTTTAAAGAAACTGCTGAAACACAACATTAAACTGAAAATCTTATGGTATAAGCAACCGAGCAATATTTACAAGGTGGATTATAAAAAACTGATAGATGAACTGTATGCAACAAAAATAACAGACGACGAAGACTTCAACAAGCAGACGCAAAAGAAACTGTGGAACATCAGCGTCGGAATGTTGGAGAAATCCCATAACACCAGTCAGCGAAGTAGCACCTTTACTTCATTGAAGGAGGCGTGTTATTATCAAAGCATTTACGGCGGAAAAGTTTATACTATAAGCGAGTGTCAGACAGAACTTAACGAAGTGGATGAAGACGAATTTGAAACAAAGGAGACAGAAGGAACAAAATATTATGTGTTAAGTGTCTCAGAAAAGAAGACTTTAATGAATGGTTTTATGTATATCAAAGAGTTGTTATTGCAATATCATAATTTTAAGATGTATGAAGCATACAAGACATTATCCGATAACAACATTAAGGTGTATAGTGTTAAGACAGATTGCTTGACGATACACGAAGACGATGTGGATAAGGTGCATGGATACAATTTTTGTCGTGTGTGGAGAGAAGGACTGCTTAAATTTGGAACTGACATCGGCACTTGGAGACTGGAAGAGAAGAAAACAATTACACTGCCTACGCAGTTATACACATACAAGTTTAACGAAGTGCCGGAAATCCCGAAAGTTAGTAATGTAAATGTTGAGGTTGAAGACGAGTGGGACACTAAAACAATATGCGAGAAAATTATGTTGAGAAACCCCGTGATAATTCGTGGAAAGTTCCCGGGCACGGGCAAGAGTTATATAGGCGAGTATTTCCAACAAATGGGTAAGAATGTTTTGTTTGTAGTGCCAACCAATAGACTTTTACAAGAAAAGGAAGTAGAAGCGACAACTTATAACAAGTTTTTCAGCATCGCCGTTCATGAAGATGTAGGGGAGAAGTTGCCAGCTTTTGATTATTCCCCTTTCAATGTGGTGGTGTTTGATGAGGTTTATATGTCTAACTTATATGTATTGGATAAGGTCAGACGGTTCATTAAAGAAAATCCTGATATTATCGTTATTGGGACGGGTGATGTAAAACAATTGCAGGGAGTGGAAGTTATGACCAACTGCCAGAACCCAGCAGTTTATATGGACAACTGCCTAGATATAGTATTTAAATACAATATATTCCTAGAAGTGTGTAAAAGAGTAGGAGCGAAGGACAGCGAAGAAGGAGACAGAAACAGGGAAATCATTAATAATATGTATAACGACTTTTGGGAAAGCAAGTTGCCTATTCAAGACATCATACCGAAATACTTTGAAACGACTGACGACATAATGGCATCGGAGCATAACATCGCCTACACTAACATAAGATGCCGAAATGTAGCAAACGAGATTAGAAACAGGTTAAACAAGAAAGACAAATACGAAGTGGGCGAAATACTCATTGCCAGAAAATGGATTAAACAACCAAGGGTAAATGTAAATCTACGGTATAGAATTACGAGCATAGAACAAGATGAACTCGGAGCGCAAATAACATTACAGAACATAGCAAATGATGAAGATCAGTTTATGCTGTTTGAGGCAATTGTTGATAATAACTTTATATACTCATACTGCGCCACCTGTCATTCAAGTCAGGGAGCGAGTGTAAAGGGGAGTATAACTATACACGAATACAACTTGCCAATAGCAAGCAGGGAGTGGGTTTGGACGAGTATTACACGCTGTGTTGACTTTAGAAAAGTCAGGTTCTACAACAACGCAAGTTTTGATAAACAAATGGATAAAAACATGATAATGAGATACTTTAAAAACAAGGTGGAGAATTACAAACTACAAGACAGGAAAGCAAGGAGAGAGATAAACGAGGAGGAATACATAACCCCCGAATGGTGTTTGAAAATGTTTAAAAGCAGGTGCGAGAAATGTAATACATCATTTAATTTTGAAGTGAAGCAAGGTAAGTTATGTAGCAACTTTACAGCTCAGCGTCTATGTAATGATTACGGACATCATTTAGACAATTGTTGTGCTTATTGCTTGTGGTGTAACGTAAGCTCACATTAAAAGAGGTTTAAAGAAATGGTGCGTTAAGATAATTAATAGTATAATGCGTGAAAATAAGTACCAAAAGGGCAAAATATACAAAATAACCGATGTGGCGTATAATGACTGCTACTACGGGTCAACTATTGAACCGCTGACGAAACGGATGATACACCACAAGCATAAATATTTCAACCAGAATACATGGCAAGAAACATGCGTAAGAAGTGTAAATAACATCTTTAATAAATACGGTTTTGAAAACTGCAAAATTGAATTAGTTGAAAACTTCCCATGTGCATCCAAAGAAGAATTAGTTAAGCGCGAAGGTCATTACATAAAAGATAACGAGTGCGTAAACAAACAATCTAATGTAGCGGGGCGAACTAAGGAGGAATACAGACACGAAGAGCGTGATAAACTCAATGTGCGCTCAAAAGAATATTACAGAAACCATGTGGAAGAAAGATGTGCATACCAAAAAGAATACAGCAAGAACAATGTTGAAAAGATAAGACAGCAAAAATTGAATTATCGTGAGCGAAACAAGGAAACCCTCACAACGCCTATCTCGTGCGGATGTGGTCTGGTTTTCCAACAACGCTCCCGAACCCGCCACGAAAAATGCAAGAAGCATCAAGAATGGTTAAAACAACAAGAACAACAAACCGAACAATCAGAATAGAAATAATAATATCTTGTTTATTATAATGACTTCTAAACAAGATATTATCCGCAATGTTTATTATGACCGCTCAGGGTTTGGGAGTAAGGCAACAACCCTACAAGATGCTCAAAAGAAAGATGCCAGTATCACGAAAGAAGATGTTGAGGAGTTTTTTAGAAAGAACATTGAAGAGAAAAGAAAACCGCGTGGTGAGAATAGTTTTGTAGCACCCCACGCGCATTTTGAATATCAGGTGGATTTATTCTTTATAAGCAAAAATGATTTAGGAAACCAAAAATTTAGAATTGGGTTGGTTTTAATTGATATTTTCAGTAAATATGCTACTGTTATACCTATTAAGAGTAAAGAACCTCCTGATGTATTCGCGGGAATAATGGAAGGACTACAAAAAATGGGCGATAAACCGAAGATGTTTTACAGTGACGAGGAAGGGAGTTTGTATAGTAAAACAATTATAGGATATTTGGAGGGTGAGAAAATTGAGATACATAGAACAAGAGGGCATCCAGCGTTTGCGGAGCGTTTTATAAGAACATATAAAGATATGCTGTTTAAGCGGGTTGAAGCAGATGAAAAAAAGGGTAAGCAAAATATACAGTGGATAGATTATAATTTGGAAATCTTATTAACCTATAATAATAAAATGGTTTCGTCAGCGACTAAAATGACACCATTAGAAGCAAGGAAAAAGAAAAATGAATTTGAAGTTAAATTGAATATATCTTTACAAGCAAAGCGTAATAGAACATACCCCGAAATAGAGGTGGGAGATAGTGTTAAAATAATGCGCAAAAAAGGCATTAGTGAAAAGGAACGCACCAGTCATTGGGTTAAAACTCCCCAGGAAGTAAAGCGAATAGATAAAAAGTTAGGTCAAAACTATTACTACTTAGATAATGAGAATAGCGGTTATTTGCGACACGAATTATTAAAGGTGTAAACAAAGTCTTTATTTTCATAGTCTATTCCTGATTTTGGAGTGTTTTGTTTGTCGTTTCGCTCTTTTCTTGGTTTTTCTTTCTTCCGTAATATGTTTGGCTATATGGTTTGTATCAGGTGTTGAAAAATTGAGTTTTTTCAGAATTGTCCTTAGAGTTTCCGAGAAACTATTTACTCTTATACTCTATTCCTGATTTTATGTGTTCCTTTTTTGTGGTTTATGGAAATGTATACATATTTGTTGTGTTTTAAGGGTTTTCCCACCAAAAAACGCACAAACAAAAAAGGCAAAAAAGAAGCCGTAAAACCCTCCCTCCCAAACGAAAACTAAACACTAAACCTAAAACCTGAACACTAAACCTAAAATCTCTGCCCAGCAAAGCTCCACAGCGTCTGAATGATAGGAAGAGCCGACTAATCAGCCAGCCTTTCAAGGACAGGAAGAGCCGGTGGCTCTCAACCAAACTCCTCAACCCCTTAACTGAAACCAAAACACACCCTGAGATCCCCAAGTCTACCTAACCCAAGACAAACCAAAAGGGACTTGCGGCGTCTGGAACTCACGCAAGTCGTTGTGGTCCTGTCGCGTCCGGAGGTGATGAATCTTCGAAGTGTGAGGGCTTAAGAAAGCTCAGCGAATGCAAAACAGCGACACCCAAAGTTCAATTCTCTCTTTTGCGCCCCACATCCCGCGGACTTCGGTGCTCTGCCGTGGTCCGACATCTATCTGACCACGCTTGCTAAACAAACGGGTAGATGCTACTCTGGAGGCTCGAGGTGTGAGACAAAAGGTGTCACTCAACGCCGGCGTTCTTATTCACCTGCAGGGGCAGTTGGCGCCAAAAGAGACGTCAAAACAAAAGATGACAACTACATCATCAGGAACAGCAGCAACTGGTTCGATCTAGAACTGCCTTGTCAAGAGCCTCTTGAAACTTGACAATGCCAGCAAGCGCTGCGACGAAAGCCATGAAACCGCCACCCCATGCTTTGATGGAGCTCCATGCGATGGTGGCTTCCCTCCACTCTTTTCCTTAATGCTTGATGGGCACGCTGAAACCTTTAGCGTTTTCACGACTTTTGCTTCGAGAAACAAGAATAAGAGGCAAGCACCGAGCGTCTATACTCAGCGAGGAAGGTATCCCACTTTGACTCCAAGCTATCGACCTTTTTCTCCAAGCCATCGAACCTCTTCTCCAGTGAGTCGACCTTGCTCTCCAACTTTTTCACGGCCTCCAACACTTCCCGGTTCGCTGTGAAGAACTGACGGCGATGCAGCCGAAAGGGCAGCGTCATGCTGCGGAGCGACATGACACGAATGTCGTGTCTTCTACTTGCTTCTACTATTGCTCGAGAAAGCTGCAGTACTCACGATGGAAAACGTGGACGTGGATGAACGGCTATTCTGGACATCGCAAACAAGCAGGCATACCGCAGCCGATTGCCGCTCCGAAATCTCTAGCAAAACCCGCGTCAAGCGTGGAAGGCACGCCACATCATTGAAGAAGCAGGTGATGTAGCCAGCCCATAGCAAAGGTTTTAACAAGTTCTAAATATTCCTCATTAGGTACGGGTTGCTTTCGAAATTACGATTGTGTTTTGGATCTTGGCTTGGGTTTTGGGATGTGCTTTGTGTTTTGGATTGTGTTATGGGATTTGTTGAGGATATTGGGAGGTGTTTGTGTATTGCAGGATTTAAGGGTTGAAATCTTAGGCGGTTTGAAAAATGGGGTGAAAGCGTAGGGGGGGGTATAGGATGTGAGGTGTGGGGGAAGCGGTTGTTTTGCTTTTTGTTCTGCTCTGGGGTTTAATATTGAGTTGGTATGTGCTTTGTGTTTTGGTGTTTTGGAAGGTTGAGGTGTGGGGGAAGGAGGTTCTTTTGATTTGTCCTTTGCTATGGGACTTTGTGTTGAGTTGGGATGTGCTTTGGGTTTTGGATTGTGTTTTGGATTGTTGTTTGGGGTTGGTAGGTTGCTTTGTTTCGGGATTGTTGTGTTGATTGTTGGGAGGTGCTTTGTGTGTTCAGGGATTTAAGGGTTGAAATCTTAGGCGGGTTGAGAAATGGGGTGAAAGCGTAGGGGGGAGTATAGGGTATGAGGTGTGGGGTTAGCCTATGCTTGCTCGAAGATGGGCATGTCCCGACATTCGCCCGGGCGAAACCCTAAACCCTAAACCCTCTAAACCCTGACCCCGATGAACCCTAAACCCTAAAATCCTAAAAGCCTAAAATCCTAAACCCTAAACCCTGTTCCGTGTGCATTTCAAGGACGTGGCTTGTCGTCGCTCTCAGGCACAAGGGAGATGAAGAACAAACACAAGAGTCATTCAAGTTTTCCCTGAAACCCTCAACTGTCCACCAGCACCCTAAACCCTAAACCCTAAACCCTAAACCCTAAACCCTAAACCCTAAACCCTAAACCCTAAACCCTGAACCCTGAACCCTGAACCCTGAACTTGGTCTTCGGCCTGAACTCCTTCCTTCCCTCCGGCCCTTAGAACTATAGCCACTTGAGTATTGTGTATATTCACCTGGGTTTAGGGTTGAGAGTTCGGGGTTTTATATCAGAAACTCACCATCATTCCACAAGGAATCTGGACCCAAGCATGGCCTAGAAATAAAAGGGCACCCTTTTGCTTTAAGGGGGCTTCATCAGGGAGCCCCTAAACCCTAAACCCTAAACCCTAAACCCAAAGCCCCTAGTAACAAAGAGGAATAAGGGCCTTCTCTGGTCCCAGGAGTAACACAAGCCTAAACAAGGGCACCCTTTCAGGTTTCAAGGAGGCTTCAGAAGGGAACCCAAGCCCTTCAAAAAGAAGGGGTTGAGGGCCTTCTCTGGGTCCTATAGGAAAACATACAATCCTAAAATATAGGGGTCGGAAGGATTGCTGCTTTTCCCTTATGGTCCATGATCATTCTACTATAAAAACCCCCCCAGCCCCCCCCCAAAAAAAAAAAAAAGAAAAAAAAATGCAATTATCAAGGCCCCTATACTGCAGCCCCTATGCGCGAGGCTCGGTCTGGGACTCGTGCTTGACAATGCCGCCAGGACTGCAAAGACGATCGAGGCGGGCCTGGGAGGGTGTTTAGGGTTTAGGGTTTAGGGTTTAGGGTTAGGGAACTCAAGCCTACTTGGCTAAATCCCCAGCTGACAAACCCTGGTAAGCGCTAAGCCCCAAGCCCTAAACCCGAACCCTGAACCCTAAACCCCTGACCAACCAGCCTCATGACCTTGAAGCCCGTGAAGAAACCAGTGCAGCCGGAGGGAGCGCTGGTTGGGCTCCGGGTCTTCTCAGGGAGGTCGGGGCTTGCGGGTTGATAAGGGTTTAGGGTTTAGGGTTTAGGGTTTAGGGTTTCAGGGGGTTTTATCGGTGTGTTTGGGTGCTGGCAGTGCCATATCTTCGAGGCGGAGGGATCTGATCTGTGGGTCTGTAGCTGGGAAATCGAGTGGAGTCGAGTCAACAGTGCCATTCTGCATTGAAGGCTTACAAAGGCCTTATCGGATTTGCTGAAGTTGTAGATGGCTGGATGTTTTCATGTGTTATTTTTAGAAGTTGTTTGAGGGGCCCAGTTCCTGCACAATTTCGGCAAGCCAGATAAACTCACCGGAAGCATGGGTTTCGGATCCTTGAACGCGCGGCGAACCCTAATCTCTGAACCATGAGGGCCCCGAACCATCCAGGACCCCCTGCACCCGAAACCGCCCAACGAAAAGAAAGCTCAGCCGTCCGTGGAAGACCTCGCGCACCCCTAAACCCTAAACCCTAAACCCCAAACCCCAAACCCCAAACCCTGCACAACCCTAAACCCTAAACCCCAAACCCCAAACCCCAAACCCTGCACAACCCTAAACCCTGGTGCTTCTGTTCATCTGGCAGCTGCGGTTCCCGTGCGCCGCAATAACAAAGTGGAAAATGGTGAACGGCATGAGCCGCAAACAACCCTCTAAACACAATCATCACGTGGCTCATGTGCTCTCTCCTTGTCACACCTATCCCTCAACCAAGCATCCACAGATCAACTGCACGCCTGGTCACCAAGCCCCAAAACCAATAGAACTCTAAACAAAACCCATAAGCCCCTAACTTCACAACTCATGAACCCTTTCAAACCCAAACCCGAGACCTTAAACCCACGCCACCTAAACCCTAAATCCCAAAAACCCTAAACCCCTAAACCCTGAATCCCCAAACCCTAAACCCCTAAACCCCTGAACCCAAAACCCTAAACCCTAAACCTTAAACCCCTGAAGGTAAGTCCCAAAAAAAACTGGGCTCTGGGGACCCCTACGCCAACTCCATTCCTGCGCAGCTCCGCAACCTGGCAGTACAAAGGGTTCGGGCGCCTGCTCTCCCTAGCGCACCTGAGTAGGGTTTAGGGTTTAGTGTTTAGGGTTTAGGGTTTAGGGTGTAGGGGGCCTAGGGTTTTGGGTTTAGGGTTTAGGGTTTAGGGTTCAGGGGTTAGGGTGTAGGGAATAAGGGGGCCTAGGGTTGTAGGGTTTATAGGGTTTAGGGATTCTCGGGCCTTAAAGGACTTGCCATATGGGCAGTTCTCCAAATTAGGTTTACTTTGTACGTTAATTTGGCGTGCTTATCCCTAAACAGCCTCAATAATTGTGGGAACCTAGAGGCCATGAGAAACCCCGTAAACCCCAAACCCTAAGGCTGTTAGAGAGCCTCCGACTAGGCGGGCCTCACAAATCACAAAACTAAACTCGAAAAGCCTACAAACACTAAACGCTAAATCCGAAACCCGAAACCCTAAAACCCCAAGCCCTGGATCTGGAGGTGGCCGTTTTGAAGGGGGTCCCGGGCTCAAACGCCATTTCTGGCCCAACCTTGTCTGGGACCCCTGAGATTTTCCCCTAAAACCCCACTCAAAATCCCATGAGACCCCCTGACATGGAAGAAGTGTTTGGAAGCGGGCTGTTGACTTTCAAGGCCTCAACCCAAAAAGGAATAGGTTTGGGTGGTTTTGCCACCTGAGACGTCGTGGGGTGGGATAAAAGTGTTCGATGGCCCTCCACTATCGGGCCACAGCTGCTCCTCGCGTTTCGCGAAGCTGCCGAAGCGAGTCTGCATCCCAACATTCACGGCTTCTGCGCCATTTCACAGCAAACCCTACACCCCACACCCCAAACCCTAGTCCGCAAACCCTAAACCCGAAACCCTGAAAACCCTAAACCCTAAACCCCAAACCCTAAATCCCAAACCCTAAACCCCAAACCCTAAACCCCAAACCCTAAACCCCAAACCCTGAAAACCCTAAACCCTAAACCCTAAACCGCAGACCCTAAACCCTAACCCCAGACCCTAAACTCCAAACCCTAAACCCCAAACCCCAAACCCCAAACCCTAAACCCTAAACCCTAAACCCTGAAACCCTAAACCCCAAACTCCAAACCCCAAACCCTAAACCCCAAACCCTAAACCCTAAACTCTAAACCCCAAACCCTAAACCCCAAACCCTAAACCCCAAACCCTAAACCCCAAACCCCAAACCCCAAACCCTAAACCCCAAACCCCAAACCCCAACCCCCAAACCCTAAACCCTAAACCCCAAACCCTAAACCCCAAACCCTAAACCCCAAACCCCGAACCCTAAACCCCAAACCCTAAACCCTAAACCCTAAACCCTAAACCCTAAACCCCAAACCCTCTGGGCTCCCCCGGCTATGCGCTCCACAGTCGGTGCCAGCGACGGCGCTTCAAGCGCCCCAAGCAGCTCGGAAGCCTCTAGTGGGTTTAGGGTTTAGGGTTTAGGGTTTAGGGTTTAGGGTTTAGGGTTTAGGGTTTAGGGTTTAGGGTTTAGGGTTTAGGGCTAGTCACTATACGGTTTAGGGTTTAGGGTTTAGGGTTTGCGGTCTAGGGTTTAGGGTTTAGGGCTAGTCGCCATAGGGTTTCGGGTTTAGGGTTTCGGGGCCGAGGGTCCAGAGTTTGGGGGTCCAGGGTTTAGGAATTAGGGTTTTGTGGCTCTATAGGGTTAAAGCTAGTGGAGGGGTTGGGGTTTAGGGTTTAGGGGTTGATAGAGCGTCGTTTACGTGGACTCTGAACCCCCTAAACCCTCTAAACATCTCTAAACCTATAAATCATTCCTAAGGCCGTTACAGACGCTCAACCCTAAAAGTGCTACACTGTGAACCCTAAACCCTGAACACCTTGAACCCAAAACAATAAAATCCTGCCCCTAAACCCTGAGCCCTAAATCCTAAACGCCGGATTTGGCTGGGCAACGTTTAGGGGCTGTGTGGCTTTAGGAGGGTCTTCAAGTCTCATAGATCGCTGGCGGATCCAAGGTTTGGAGCTACCTAGGGTTTAGGGTTTAGGGTTTAGGGTTTAGGGTTTAGGGCTTAGGGTTTAGGATTTAGGGCTTATGGGGTTTAGGGCTTGGGGTTTGGAGACTTATTCGGGTGCAGGGGTTGCTGTGTTGAAGGTTTAGGGTCTTGGGTTCGCGAACCAACCCAAGCGCTACCCCAAAACCCCAAACGATAAACCCTAAACCCTAAACCCTAAACCCCAAACCCTAAACCCTGCTTGGTGTTTTGTGCAGCAGATCGCTTCAGACCGCGCGTTCGCTAGGCGAAGATGAGGCTGAGCGCTCCTAGGCGGCCCTTTGGAGGCTACGTGTGAACTCCCTGAAGCCTAAACCCTAAACCCTAAACCCTAAACCCTAAACCCTAAACTTGGGTTCTGAGTGCCCTGAATCAGGAATTGCCGAACCAAATACACGGGGCGTCCTTGATGAGATAGATAGAAAGTAAGCCTAAACCCTAAACGGTACACCCTACACTGTAAACCCAAGACCCGAGACCCTAAACCCTAAACCCTAAACCCTAAACCCTAAACCCTAAACCCTAAACCCTAAACCCTAAACCCCACCCCCTAGAAGAAACCTCAGCCTCAATTCATGTTGGTGAGACTTCGGAGGCCCCTTACTTCGCCGTGCAAGGCGTGCAGAAGCCGTGGGGCGTGAAGGCTTCCGACTCCTCCTCGGGATAGGGTTTAGGGTTTAGGGTTTAGGGTTTAGGGTTTAGGGTTTAGGGTTTAGGGTTTAGGGTTTAGGGTTTAGGGTTTAGGGTTTAGGGTTTAGGGTTTAGGGTTTGGGGTTTAGGGTTTAAGGTTTAAGGTTTAAGGTTTGGGGTTTGGGGTTTAGGGTTTAGGGTTTAGGGAGTCGTTCGGACCCTTGCATTTTGTTTGGGGTTCAGGGTTGAAGGTCTACGGGGCTTTTCGCGGGCCCGCCCGGCCCCCTCTCCCAACCGTACCCCCCCACCCTTCTGTGGTCTGGACGGTTTAGGGTTTAGGGTTTAGGGTTTAGGGTCTAGGGTCTAGGGTCTAGGGTTGAGGGTTGGTTTAGTGTCCGCTTGCCCCTCTTCTCATGTGCGGTCACATGCTGATTGGCAGGGCAGGGTCAGAAACAAACACGACATTGCATGGTTCAAGAGTGCGTCGCCCTTCGGTGCAGGTTGGAAGAAAAAAACGGTGAAGCAATCGATATTGCTTGTTGCTTTCGTCTTTATCTGCATATTGGATTCCGGCTGTGCAGGAGGTAAAAACGTTAAAAGCTCGATGTCTCTCGCCAACTTTTTAAATCTCTTTTCGCAATCGTAGTTCGCGCAGTCTTAGGCATGCACGCAATGGGCGATGCATGTGAACCCTAAACCCTAAACCCTAAACCCTTAAACCATGGACGTTCCCTCCCAAGAGGTGTGCCCTACACATGGCTTCAAAGCCAGAGACACGTTCGGGCATGGATACACAGGACAAGGTGGTCGGGTTGGTTGAAACCCTAAACCCTAAACCCTAAACCCTCAACCCTAAACCCTAGTGAGGGTGAGGACGAGTGGTCGCTTGGGAACGACTCGGAAGAGGTCTTCAGCTGTAGAAGTTGAGCTCGAGCCTTTCAGGGTTTGGGGCTGAAGAGCAGACGATTCCTTGGCCAAAGGGTATAGGATTTAGGATTTAGAGTCTAGGGTTTGGTCAAAGGGTTTAGGGTTTAGGGTTTCGGGTTTGGGGTTTGGGGTTTCGGGTTTAGGGTTTAGGGTTCAGGGTTCAGGGTTTTGGGTTTAGGGTTCCGATCCCCGAAGAAACTGTCGGCAGGCCTTTCTCGCAAAGCGACAGCGCTGCGCCTGAGCACAGCGCCGTTTGCTCCAGGCTGCGCCTCTACGCGCACCATGCCATGCCAGGGGTGTGTAGGGTTTAGGGTTTAGGGTTTAGGGTTTAGGGTTTAGGGTTTAGGGTTTAGGGTTTAGGGTTTAGGGTTTTGGGTTTAGGGTTTAGGGTTTAGGGTTTTGGGGAGCCCTGGGGGTACCCTTAATCTTCTTCCCCTATATAGCCCCTACGTATACCTTATAAAATCCCATATATCCAAGTAGCCCCTAAAGAGCCCCTAAGTAGCCCCTAGGGTCCCTTATAAGAACATACCACTAAGGTTGTACCCCTTTAAAGTTTCCCTTAAAATACTCCCAAACCCTAAACCCTAAACCCTAAACCCTAAACCCTAAACCCTAAACCCTAAACCCTAAACCCTAAACCCTAAACCCTAAACCCTAAACCTAAACCCTAAACCCTAAGCCCTTTTCTTCCCTTAGAGGATCTTCAAGAAGGATCCCCAAAGCCAAGGGTGCAACCTTAGGAGCGCAAGATAAAAAGATCCATGAAGATGGGGTCGAGGGCTGACTCAACCCTAAACCCTAAACCCTAAACCCTAAAACCCTAAACCCTAAACCCTAAACCAAAAACCCTAAACTCTAAACCAGGAATGGCTTGTATTTTATGCAGACTGTTGGCTTGGAGTGCTTGCAGAAGTGTTGCCCTGCATCCTGATAAACCCTCAACCCTGAACCCGAAACCGCCCCAAAGTCATGCCCTAGGGAGTACTTCAAACCCAAGAGCCTCCTCGGGCGGTTGGGTTTTAGGTTTTAGGGTTTAGGGTTTAGGGTTCAGGGTTTAGGATTCAGGGTTTAGGACCCTCTAGGGAACACCCATCCATGAACCTCTATGCTGGGCCTCCGTAGCAGCTGCAGTAGCCCCAGGGTCACTGTCCAAAGCTCCGGATCCTCAATCTGAGTTTGTAGGGTTGTAGGGATTAGGGTTTAGGGTTTAGGGTTTAAGGTTTAGGGTTTACAGTTTAGGAGCCGCGCCCGCATCAATGGTTGTTTTGCTGTGCCCCGCCGAAAATTTCAACAGGAGGGTACAGGAGTCGCGGTTCCGAACGACCCAGGTGCTGAGGATTCCGGTTTTCGGGCTTCGGGCCCAAGCGTTGAGGGTCTAGGGCTAAACGCTAAGCCCTAGCAACCTTTTCCCTAAAGCACCAAGCCCTGTAACCTCGAGTCTCAGATATCCTAAACCCGAAACCCGAAATCCGAAACCCTAAACCCTAAACCCGAAACCCTAAACACTAAACCCTAAACCCTAAACCCTGAACCCTGAACCCTAAACCCTAAACCCTAAACCCTAAACCCTAAACCAAGGCACATCGAAGCTCACAATGGCGCTTGTATAAGCAATGAGGCTGGTGGCGATGCCTGCCTTCGGTGCACTTGCTCGGGCGCAGAGATTTTTGTTAGGCTGAGGCTGCAGCATTTGTTGGATTTTAGCCCTAAACCCTAAACCCTAAACCCCTAAACCCTAAACCCTAAACCCTTATAGGGTGTAGGGTTGTGGGGCTTGTATGTTCTACTACTCTCTCGGCCGCTACGTCTCATAGGCCAGAGACCTTACAAGCCTACGGCCTAAAATCTCCTTAACGCATCTAAGCATTGTACTTAACCACAGGGAAACAGTAGGGTTCAGGGTGTAGGGTGTAGGGTGTCGGGTTTGACTGTTACGGTTTCGGGTTTGGGGTTAGGGTTTAGGGTTTGCGTTGATTAAAACGCGGCCTACCATTGCACAACTGCGATGGGTTTAGGGTTTAGGGTGAGCCAAAGGCAACCATGCCCATGCCTTGTCCATGTGCTGCAACTGTGACAGCGCAAGCTGCCACTGTAGCCCCTTCCGCATGGGCGTTAAACATGGCTTTAGGGTTATCAGCCAGTTGCCTGCAGCCTAAGCAAGCCCTAGAAACTCATAACCCGGAACCCGAATCGGTTGCCCATGTTTGCATGAGCCTAAGGGATTACCATAAACCCAAAACCCTCTAAACCATAAACCCTAAACCCCTAAACCCTAAACCCTAAACCCCTAAACCCTAAACCCTAAACCCCTAAACCCTAAACCAGGCTTTGGGGACTCGGAAGTGGGGCTAGGGGTAGGGTTTAGGTTTCCAGATTTCAGGCTTCGACCGGGTTTAGGGCTAGGGTTTAGGGCTTTGGGGTTTAGGGGTTTAGCGGTTTAGGGGTTTAGGGTTTAGGGGTTTAGGGGTTCAGGGTTTAGGTCGAAGGTTTAGGGTTTAGGGGTTTAAGGGTTTAGGTGTTTAGGGTTTAGGGGTGATCGCCTCAGTTTCGGGCTTCGGAACTCCCTGCAACCCAGCAAACCCAACATGCTTGTGATACCTTAAACCCTAAAACCTAAACCCCCTAAACCCCCTAAACCCCCTAAACCCCCAAAACCCCCTAAACCCCCTAAACCCCCTAAACCCCCTAAACCCCCTAAACCCCCTAACCCCCCTTAAACCCCTAAACCCGGAAACCCTCAACCCTACGAACCCCCTCCTTGGCGCAGGCGGACACCACTGCACTGTAGGTGATCTCCTTGGGGCCCGCAGTTCGTCAGGGTTTAGGGTTTAGGGTTTAGAGTTTAGGGTTTAAGGCTACTTGTAGCAACATCAATTGATCTGGACTCTACGGTTCCCGGCTTTGGGGTGAAAGGCTACTGGGTAGCCTAGAAATCAAGCACCAACAGGCCAAGCACTTTTGCATAGGTGAAAAGAGGGTTTCAGGTCTAGGGTTTAGGGTTTAGGGTTTAGTAGCCCTAAACGGAGAGTCGGAGAAAAGGGTGTAGGGTTCAGGGTTTTAGGTTTCAGGCGTTAGGGGTGCCGGCATGGCTTGGGGTAAGACTCCTAAACTCGAAACTCTGAACCCTTTAGGAACCCTTAGGAACCCTAACCCTAAACCCTAAACCCTAAACCCTAAACCCTAAACACGGGCAGAAGAAAAACAACTTGATCTCGTCTCCCCGTCCAGGGCTTTGGATCCTGATCCCCTGTCAACCAGAAAATATGAGCACGATCAGAAACCAAGGAAACGCATAGGGGTTTAGGGTTCAGGATTTAGGGATGTTATAGGGGTCTAGGGTTTATAGGATTTAGGGTTTAGGGTTTGGGGTACCATTTTGGGGTCCTTATTATAAGGGGATCCTATTATTTGGGGTCCCTTGTTGTTGTAAACCCCCCCCCCCCCCCAAATCCGCAAAGGTCAAGGCTAGGGTGGAGCGCAAGTACTGAAGGGTCTATTGGACTGAGTGGTTGGCCCTAAACCCGAAACCATGGGCTAGGCACTTACTTGTAGTAGTCCGTTGAGACTGGCTTTGGGGTTTAGAGTTTAGGGTGTAGGGTTTGGGGTTTAGGGTTCAGGGTTTAGGGTACGAAGACCGATGCGCTGGAAGTCGAAGAAGAAGACATTTGAGGCCATCGCCCCATGAACCCTGAACCCATATGAACTCGAAAGCCCTAAACATTATAAGCGCTAAAGCCCTAGAGGCTCTCAAGCCCAAAAACCCTAGGACCCTAACGCCCGCAAAAAACCTAAACTCCAAACCCTAAAACTCAAAAACTCTAAAACCCTACAACCCTAAGATCCTAAAACCCAAAAAAACCTACAACCCTAAGACCCCAAAACCCTAAAATTCTCAACCCAAAAAGCCCTGAAACTGCGCAAAAACCCTAAAATCCTAGAACCCTGAAACCCTACGACCCTAAAGACCTAAAACCCCAAACAAAGAACCCTGAATCCTCAACCCTAAACCCTAAAACCCTACGACCCTACGACCCTAAACCCTAAACCCTAAACCCTAAACCCTAAACCCTAAACCCTAAACCCTAAACCCTAAACCCTACCTTAAGAACCTTGTAAACGCCACAAGACGGAAGGGCTGGTCGTCGATGTTGACATGAGCTGCAAGAGGTCCAAGGCACGCTGCCTTGTGGCAGGAACAGGGGTTAAGGGTCCAAGGCTCAGGGTTTAGGGGGGGGTTTAGGGTTTAGGGTTTCGGGTTTGATAGGGATTGTGGGTTTGGGGTTTAGGATACCCCCTTTTAATCCCAATTAAGGACTGTTAGCAAAGGGAGTGCTATAATTATGATAGGGGGTTATATAATCCCTATCAAGGACTGTTAGTAGAAGGGACCTCCTCCACGAAGAACCAACAAAGGTAGCATCGCAGTCTCTTGAGGTAGGGTGTCTCTTTGGGGACCAAATGAACCCTAAACCCTAAACCCTAAACCCTAAACCCTAAACCCAGACCCTAAACCCTAAACCCTAAACCTTTGTTTGGAAGCGGCGCCCCAGGTGGCTAAGGTGCCGGGGAGTCTGGTCCAAGGTTGGGGGTATGTTCGGTAGCAGAGTTTCCAGAATTGAGGTTCGGTTTAGGGTTTAGGGTTTAGGGTTTGGGGTTTAGGGTTTAGGGTTTAGGGGATGTCAAGCCGCATCGATTTCATGAGTGAGATGGTGAAGGCATCGATACTGAACTGTGGGAACATGCAAAAAAAACTCTCTATTGCTCCTTTTGGGGCTGTAAAATTGTAGTAGTGGGATGGTCCAGGCCTTAACCCACTTTGAAAAATATTCCTGAAGATGACCCCTTGTTAACCCAATCAGGAAAAATGGGAATGTCCCAGGGGCCTACCTCGAATATGGAGCCCTTTGACAGAACTGCTCTTGGACCGGGCACAGGCGGCTTCTCCCGTGGGCTCTACCCAACTTGCAAGGCCAGCACCCCTTCATCTTGTTGTTCTGTTACTGGGTGTAGGGTGTAGGGTTTAGGGTTTAGGTGTAAGTTTCAGGGTTTCGGGTTGAAGTTTCTGGCCATAGTGCCCGTGACTTGCACTGGAAGCTCAACTTTTGGCAGCTCGGGTTTACAGCATGGTAAGCTTGCGTGAATCTAGAGCACGTGTAGTGACAGATTCTGGATGACAGAGAGCACATTGGAACCGGGGAAGGTCGGTTATGAGGGTTTAGGGTTTAGGGTTCCGGGTTTAGGGTTTAGGGTTTAGGGTTTAGGAGGTGACCTTGAGCAGGCCCCCTGGCTAAACTGCCTTCAGGAACCCTACTAAAACCTAAAACCTAAACCTGATGCTTTGCCAAGAGCAGTCTGCCCACCCTCCCCCCCCCCCCCCAAATAGACTCCTAGCACGCCTGGACTCCATCTCTGCAGATTTATGTAGGATTTAGGGTTTGGGGTTTAGGGTTTAGGGTTTGGGGCTTAGGGATAATTCAGGCTTCTTCCGGTGTGAATGCTGGCCCGCTGGCCATGTAAAATGAACTGTCCTTAACTTCACCACTCCGTCATACTCTGAATTCTGAACTCGCCCCTGGCACGTCGAAACTCTCATCCTGCCCATGCAAATGGTACTCTCAGCCTAAACCCTAAATCCTGAAACCCTGTAAGTCCAGGAAACCCACCATGGTCTTGCTGCGAGCGGCCACGAAGACAGTCCCTCGAATGCCCCCAGGAGCGTGTTGTACGTGATCACGCTGGGAGTGAGTGCCCTCAGAAAGCTTAAGAACTCGTTTTGTGCCTTTTTGTAGAGGTGCGGGGGAGGAGCACACAGGTCGTGGGCTTGGGTGAACTTTAGTACCTTGATCCAGCAAATATAGGGCCAAGGGCTATTTATAGGGGGCCGGGGAATGAGTAGTGAGGTGCCCAGATCCACCCACCAAAACCCCTGATTCACCCGCCTGGCTCGCCCGTCAACAAACTCCTGATTCAAGGAGACGACATGGTGTTCACGCTTTTTTGGGTGGTGCCTGCAGTGTGAAGGCCCAATGGACAGCGTAACCCTCAACCCTCAACCCTCAACCCTAAACCCTAAACCCTAAACCCTAAACCCTGAACCCTAAACCCTAAACCCTAGCCATTCAGTTCTGAGAGCTCCCCCCAACCAACGCAACCCCATGAAACCTGCCGGGGTGAGTGAGCAACGACACCGGGGCCCTACCCCTTCCGCGGCCCTGTCAGCCTTGCAACACAATAAGTTATAAATGTGTATACATATATATATATATAGACATATAAACATATAGATATATAGATATATAGATGTATAGATGTATAGATGTATATATATATATATATATGTATATATATATGTAGATATATGTAGATATATGGACATAAAGATATATATATATACATGTATATATATATATATAGACATATATAGATATATAGATACATAGATATATAGATCTATAGATATATGGATATATAGATATATAGACATACAGTTATTTCTTATTTATTTAACCGCTATGGCATGTCTACAAGCAAACAAACAACAGACACAGGTGTATACATGTGTACTTACATAATATATAACAAACTGGGTATATATGTTTAGTTGTCTACACAGACAAGTTGTAAATTGAAAACCATGGGGGCTCGGGAAATCTTGGTTGCGTACGTGGGATCATCACAGGGGGCGGGGGGGGGGGGGGGGGGGGGGGGGGGCGAAAGAGCGCCCCGTTTTGTAAGCATCATGAACATGAACAACCGACCACTCCAGGCCCGGAAGCCTTTTTCATGCACCTCGAACATTCCAGACTTGGCCAACGTGTGCTTGGCAAGGGGCGAGTTTTGGTGCGAGGAAGCGGAGTCTGCGCGGGGGCAGGTGAATCGTGCGTTGGTGAGGGGGGAACTTCGGGTGTGCCAAAAGGAAGCGCTTTGTGAGAGACCTAGCCTCACCAAGACTGCCACTTACAACTCTCATGGAGTTCAAGCCTCATTTTTGTCAAAGCAACATGTGCTATTGACAAAGTTGATTTTGACGAACCTGATAACATGAAACCCTCGCGCAAGCCGCCTAAGCCTTGTATCCCATGGGCCGCACACGCGCCACATGGGTCGCACACTTGGGTCGCTTGGGGTCACTTGGGGTCACTTGGGTCACTTGGGATACCAGCCTCCCAGGGCCAGTTAGCTGAGTTCATGCACTTGGGTCAGGACAATTGGGTTTAGGGCTTAGGGTTTAGGGTTTAGGGTTTAGGGTTTAGGGTTTAGGGTTTAGGGTTTAGGGTTTAGGGTGGACATGTGGAACACTTGGGAGGAGCCTCGCAGGGGTCTGCAGTGCAGGGACGCTTGAGTCGCGTGCAGGACGGTTGAGACACTCGGGGGACACTTGCGTGGACTGCTTGGGCCACCCGTGATCCACTTCAGCCACGTAAGGGTTTGTGTCACATGGGTCGCTCTGATTTAGAGATTAGGGTTTAGGGTTTAAGGTTTAAGGTTTAGGGTTTAGGGTTTAAGGTTTAGGGTTTAGGGTTTAGGGTGGATCACTTGGGACAGTTGGGTCGCTTGGGGTCACTTGGGACACCTGGAACATGTGGAGGGACTGGTCACTTGGGCCGCTCGTCTAGAGTAGCGTTTAAGGCACCCTAAACCCTAAACCCTAAACCCTAAACCCTAAACCCTAAACCCTAAACCCTAAACCCTAAACCCTAAACCCTAAGTTTATGATCGGGCTTCGACTCGACCGCGACTAGAAAAATCAAGCGCTGCCCCTTCACCTGCTGCACATCTCCTGCATGAAACGGAGAGACAAGCGCCACTGTCGGCCTGGGCAAACGTGGAATAAGCAGAAAAGCGGTTTAGGGTTTAGGGTTTAGGGTTTAGGGTTTAGGCATAGACGGGGTTTGCGTTCAGCCCAAATCACTGACATGTAAAGAAAGTCATGGCATGAGAGGAATGCCTGCAAGCAGACTACTTCGGATGCAAAGCAGGAAGGTTTCTCTCAGGGTTGCTACATGGTCCCAATATAGATGGTCCCTTCATATGGTCCCTTATCTTCTGCAAAGAGTTCTGACATATGGGTCCTTGGGTGTTGTCGGTCACATCTGAAACCCTAAACCCTAAACCCTAAACCCTAAGCCCTAAGCCCTAAACCCAAAACCCTAAACCCTCAGGGTTTACTTCTTGTAAGCGTTTAACCACGCGCACATGCACGCGAATCATACATTTTAGGGAGCTTGCCATGCCAATACATTTGAAAACAGAAAGAGACACGCTTGTGTCTGTTCTTAGGATTTAGGGTTAGGGTTTAGGGTTTAGGGTTTCGCTTTATCTGGAAAACCTATGTCCACAAGCATAGCCATAGGGCATAAGACTTGAAAAATGTGCTTCACAACCATGATCTTTCGGAAATAAATGCAAGGAAGGTGATATGTGGTGCATTTATGTAATATAGGGGTCTTAATAAGAGAACAGGGCTTTGGGGGTTCATACAGTACATTTTTTCAAGGGACCATACGGGAATACTATTCGTAATTATTCCGATCCCTAAAATAGGTATTTTTGCAGAAAATAGGGATTCTTCAGTGCATGTTAGTTTGCCCTAACCCCTAAACCCTAAACCCTAAACCCAAAACCCTAAACCCTAAACCACGTGCTTTGTGCCCGGGAACCTCGAAGTGGGGGGATTGTATGTCTTCTTGAGAGGACTCGTGTGTGATTTCACAAGGATCCTGAATGCACCTCCTTCAAAACACGAATTCCGATGGCCACCAGGCAACCCTGGAGGCCTAAACCCTAAACCCTAAACCCTAAACCCTGAACCCTGAACCCTGAACCCTGAACCCTAAACCCTAAACCCTAAACCCTAAACCCTAAACCCTAAACCCTAAACCCTAAACCCTAAACCCTACCACAAGCGGAGTTCTGAGCGCAGCGGGTTTCAGTTGTCGAGTGTTGAAAGGTTCTACACATTGGGGGGGAGGCAGTTCGGTTCTGGAAACAAGAAGAAAGTCTAGAGAGATCAAGGTGCACCCTAAACCCGAAACCCTAAACCCTCTTAACCCTGATCGGGGTTTGGCGGTTGGGTTTGGAGGTTTAGGGGTTTAGGATTTGCGGTTGTGAGGCTTAAGGGCTCGGGGTCCACAGGGCTTTGCGAATTTTAGGCGCTGGCAGGGTTTGGTTTTGGGTTTTTGGGCTTTAGGGTTTAGGGTGTGGAGGTTAGGGTTTAGGGTTTAGGGTTTAGGGTTTGGAGTTTAGGGTTTAGGCTTTAGCGCTTTACCTTTGTGGTTTCAAGGGTTTAGGGATTTGGGGATTCGGATACGGGTTAACGGTTTAGGGCTTAGGGGCTTAGGGTTTGCAGGTCCTTGCAAGGCTTAGTTCCATCAGCAGGAATCACTTTTGTCAGCCTCTGCATAGGGTGTCCGGATTTCTTGGATGCAATTGCAAGCTCGCGACCGTTTCAAAACAACAAAAGCTTTTTTGGGCTTCTAATCGTCATTCCGTAAAATGCAATGATCCGAGCTTCGCGAGCAAAATTGCACGCCACTGTAGCCGCCTTGACAGGTCGGGTCACATAATACAGGGCTTGGAAGAATGATGATGGTATTCCCTTAAAGTCCCTTTACAATTATGCTACGATAATCCCCCAAAACACTCTATTTATTGAGGCCCCTACATTGCGGGTTGCGCTTGTCGTTTTAACCCCCTGAAGCCTAAACTAACAAAGGGTGAGGGTTTCGGGTTTCGGGTTTCGGGGGTTTAGGGTTTAGGGTTTAGGGTTTAGGGTTACTCAAAACAAACCTCAAGCGGCGTGTGGAATTGTGCGGGTAGAGTCAGATGCGCCCGTAGCTTGTCACCGAACAAGCACGGAGCCTCAAAGATATAACTGAGTGAATTGCGACCACTGATCAGTGAGTAATCCCTCGAGGCGCATGAAACGATCGTTTGCGGCTTTTGGGCTCTTTAGACCATATCAAGCCTAGATTGGCTTGCACACGGTCCTGTGTGACTTGTACAGCAATTAGTTGACATTTGGGTTTAACTTCATTCTCTGTAGGCCTGGGTCGCAGGCGCCTCAGGCCGTGGTCCCTCAATACGGTCCCTTGATGCCTGGTGCCTGGCCATAGACCAGCACAACAAGCGATGGGACCCCGTGCGCACGTAGAAGACTACCCGCACAAGGCAAGGTCTTGAGTCTCCACCACAGTAATCAGATAAGGGCGTCTATGGCAGCCCTAAACCCTAAACCCTAAACCCTAAACCCTAAACCCTAAACCCTTTGCCTTTGCCTTCGAAGAGAAGCCCCGGCACTGATATTGGGAATTTTCCGAAAGTCGGATTGTCGTATTTCGGGGGTATACTCGGGGGCACCCCTACTTTGGCAAGGGCCGTTGTGTCGAAGCGGAATCATAAAGTGAAGGGGAGCAACTTGCACATTTGCAATACTCGGGCAGCTTGGGGAAATCTGTCCCCTCACTGCCCTGCTCCCCCTCGAAGAGTCCAAGCCCCAAACCCTAGCCCTAAACCCTACACCCTACACCCTACACCCTAAACCCTAAACCCTAAACCCTAAAGCCTAAACCCTAAACCCTATCGTGCTTTCAAACACTGAAGAGCCACGGATCGCTGTCGGAAGTGACCAACAGCGATAGCAGCCTTGGATGGCCCCGGAAAAAACCTCTGAAACATATTCATTTAGGGTTTTGGGTTTAGGGTTTAGGGTTTAGGGTTTAGGTTTTAGGTTTTGGGTTTAAGGCTTAGGTTTTGCATATTCCTGAACTCTGATCCTCTTAAACCCCAAGAAGGGAAAATTAAAAACAAAAGCTCCCAAGTGCGTGCCTAGCAAACCCGAAACCCTAAACCCTAAACCCTAAACCCCAAACCCCAAACCCTAAACAAGTGCCTGACTAGCAGCTGTTCCTCGTCCCTTGGCAGGACAAATCTCAGATCTTGTGAGCCTTGCTGTATTCGCCGAGCGAAGATCAGGGTGCTCTCGGTGTTCTGGGCATCTGCTTCCTTGGGTTTAGGGATTACATAGGGTCATATACCTCAATAGGGAAATGAAATAGTACAGGGTGGAAAGATCAAAGACCAGGGTATATGAACCCCGCCCCCCAAATTTCTAGGTTCACTTGATGCCCAAGGTTGGTTGTGCTCAGATTCAAGTCCTAGCCCTAAACCCTAAACCCTAAACCCTAAACCCTAAACCCTAAATCCTAAACCCTAAACCCTAAACCCCTAAACCACCCCCCAACAAGGCAAAAATGGCCTACTCTGCGTCCTAGATTCGGTGCTTAAAGCTGCCCCATCTTGTTGCAGAAGTTGTCGTGCCCGCCGTATGCCGCGAGGCGTGAGCGCCTGGTAGGCGCTGGCAACCTGTCAGGGGATCCCTAAACCCTAAACCCTAAACCCTAAACCCTAAACCCTAAACCCTAAACCCTAAACCCTTTGAAGCCTAAACCCGGAACCCCAAAAGGGCTTATATGGTTTCATGTACCTTAATAGGAAGGATAGTAGTACATCCCGAACTTCAGGGGTTCGAGTTGGTCAAGGATAAGCCCTCCCAGCGCTCTAAAGATTGGTAAGCCCTCAGCTAACAACAGTTAGTATATGCTACGCAGGGTTTAGGGTTTGGGGATTAGGGTTTAGGGTTTAGGGTTTAGGATTTAGGGTTTAGGGCTAAGGGCATGATTAGGACCCTATATACTAAGCTTGTTGTGAAATGCTGCAGTGCTCGCGTGCCATTTCATGCTGGAAAGCCAAATACCCCTGGAGAGTGCCGAATGTGAAGTGACCGCGCTTTGGCTGCTGCTTTTGCGGGTACTGGGCAGGGGTGAAAGTGATGAAACATGCATGACACGATGCTCTGCTAGATCATAACTGGGTCGTTGTCACAAACAACTGGTCGCGATGAGCTTTGGCGAGCGCCGAGAGAGTGCGAGCCCAACGCCCTGAACTGGACCTGCTTCTGCGCCGAAAAGCGCTGCTTTATATTCACCAGCAATCTGGTGAGGCATGTCTGGTTTTTCGGTGAGTGCAGAAAATCTGGATGATTCAGTCCAACCTATGGGTTGATGCTTCTACCTGAGCACGACGGCCAGTGATCACATGAGACATCACGCTTTGTTGTGTGGTGCTTGAGCGTTGTGCGCCGCCTCATCGCGAAGGCATGAACCTTCGCCGCCCAAGTCCATGAATGATGCTCTGTTTAGCTACGCGTAAACACGAATTCTGCAGGTAGCCGATGTGGTGACTTACTGCCCTAAACCCTAAACACTAAACCCTAAACCCTAAACCCTAAACCCCAAACCCCAAACCCCAAACCCTAAACCCTAAACCCTAAACCCTAAACCCTAAACCCACCAAGTAAAATGTAGCTTCAACATCAGCCAAGTGTCACTCCTAATCCACTAAGCCTGGCAAACCCCAAGAACGTGATCCACAAACCGGAAAACCATAAAACCTGAACCCTAAACTGGCCCTAAACCCTAAACCCTAGAGCCTAAACCCTAAACCCTAAACCCTAACCCTAGACCCTTTGCAAAATTTGCGACAAGTCCCAGCCACGGCCCTCCCTTCGCCCTGGTCGACACCCACAACCTCACACCCTAAACCCAGAACCCTGAACTCAACCCTGGAAACTCAACCCTAAACCCTAAACCCTAAACCCTAAACCCTAAGCCACTAAACCCCTAAACCCTAAATATAACCTTTGAACCCTAAACAACCTCGCCTCTGCTTGGGACAGCCGACGCCCATTCTCGAAGAGGAGCGGCGCCCCTGACTCGAATACAGCTTTCCAACCACAGCGCTCCACGAAGAAGGCG